TCAGACATGCAGGTTTCCTCACGACGTTTTCCTTCAGCACCAAGCACGTGGTAAATCGGCACATAAAATTGCAACAATTTCGTTGGTGCTGGCGGGGATCGAACCCGGCTTACTCGCGTTCTGTTATATTTACAGCGAGCATTAACCGTCTGAGCTACCACGGCTCAATCAAATAATCAAATGTACGCAAGGTTTTTTTATTGCGGCTCGCTTGATGGGAAGTGGTTACCGCTGAACATGTAGCAGTTAGCGACATCAGGAGAATTGTAGGTGCGTTGCCGGGCTTTAAAAGAATAGAGAAGAAAGTAACTAACTCATATCGGTCCGTGAAATCGATGGTAGTAGCCGTTTCTACAAAGAAATTGTACGAACGAAGAAATCTTTTGATTTATCGCACACTGCTGGACCGCCTATGATCCAGGTGGTGTGGATAATAACACAATTTTTGTCGCGATGTGCGACAGCGTCTCAGGTTCAATCCCCGCTGGCACTACTAAAATTGTTTATTCCAATTTTGAGTGCTAATTTACCACTCTGAGGTATAAAAATATTTTGAAGGCATGTCAAGTCCGTACACGCACAGCGGGTTTAAAGTGTCAAACAGTTGAACATAAAACGTATCATGTATCTTTATTTTATTTTGTGCTAATCTTTTTTGAGGCTTATAGCGTTAGAAAGTTGACGATAATGGTACTCTAATTGGATAAAACCTAGATTTCATTAAGCACAAGTGACAAACCAAATCGTAAAAAAAATCAGAATGTACCGTGTAGTGAGCCTACACCGACAAATTACAGCTAAAAACCTTAAAAACATATCCAGAGTCCTCAAATAAAAGGAAACCCTAGTATATAGGCTTCAGTGCAACTCAAAAATATAATTTTCTATATATATTTTATATTTGTTATTAGACCTATACTATTCATTTATTTCATCTTCAAAAAAACAGCAACAACTCATTCTACTTCAGTTATTCATTTCGCAATACTTTGATTTTAAATAAAGGGTAGATATATATTCTCAACTGTATTATTATGCTGCCAGCAGCGGTAGGTATGTGCATTTGTCAATTTATTATATTCGTTAAAAAGTGTAGACATACTGTCGAAATAGATTTTAAATTCGATTAGGTTTTCGATTCAAACTACGTTTCGATTGAAAACCGAACATACATACGAGCACATAATGGAGACCAGCCATACACATAATGGGAATTTTCACATTAATATGAGAAGTCAGAATTTTTTACAAAGGTATGTATGTCAATACACAGTGCTGTGTTAGTCCCTACCTTAATCAATGATAGTGAAAGATGGATAAAAACAAACGGAAAGAAACATAAAAGTAAAAATAATGATGTTTATATGAGGTCATTTAAAAGTAGATTCTGAATATAGAATGATATTTTTTTATATAAAATAAGGGTGACAAACGGGCACACAGTCCACTTGATGGTAAGTAGTTGCTGTGGCTTATAGACATCTAGATCTACCCTAAATAATGAATAAAAATGCAGATGCGTCGTCACCGGTGAGAGCTAAGACGTAATATTTCGTTTCCAGTAAATTGAATCTCCGGTTCTCTACACTCACCATAATGGTATTCTATGAGAGCGTAGTCATTTCCCGGTCGAGTCCACCCATTTTTGCTACAACTATGCTTCTAATACAGCTGCAGCATGCCTCTACCACGTGAGATAATTTGTATGAATAAATGTGTTTGCAAGAAGATAATTTTACGTGATACAGTTATATTACGATTGTAGTATAGTTTGGTTTGACTAATGAAATGCCACTATGAAATAGCAACTTAATGCCGCTGTGTTACTAATGGTGAGTGTAAAGAACGGGAGACCCTTTTAACTGGAAACGAGGCATACTATCTTAGTCATTGGGGGTAACAATGCGTCTTTTTAATTTTTAATCAAGGATAGATGCAGATTTCTTTCGAACACACCATCAACATACCATTAGGTACACTGTGTATTCGTTCGTTACCCTCATTCTATAAAAAAATTGTGATTAGAATCATGAAGCTATGGTTAAGACACGTAAAAAGAATTATTGTAGAAATATCTCGCCCTAGACAGGAGTTTATCCACCGAATTTGCGATATATTTGACATGGGCCAAATCAAGAGCACCATTAACCGATAAGCATGAATGCATAGTTACATGTATGTGAAAGGAACGAGAGAGGTGTGTAATAATAATAATAATAATATATAATGAAAACGGGCTTGAAACGAGTCACAGACTACGTAAATACGATAATATTTTATATGCGTATAAAAATTTTAATATCTAAAAGTAACATATGCTACGCAGATAAGAAAATATACAAAATAATACATTCACTCAAAATCCTTTAAACTTACTAGACATGTTTTTGGAGCTAATTTTGATATATGTCGGTACTTAGAGACGCTTGAAAATAAAATATAACTTATGTGCGCTGTGTGTCTTAGTTCATCGGATTTCATAGAGAGCATGTTACATTATTTTTCTTTCTATTTTAAGGTCTTGCTCCTGAGCCAATTCAAATCAAGAAAGAAAGGTCAAGTTAAAAAAGAAACTTTCAAATTTTAAGGAAGCATTCTCGTTTGTTGTTGTTCGTTGACTACAAGCGCCATCTAGCGGCGAATAGCTAAAGAGCTGAGATTTTCAATTTGAACCACCGCACCGTTCGAATGTGCGCTCTTTCGAAGGGGCGAATTACCTCGATTTTAAGTAAAATTCGATAGCCATTCTGAAGTTTGGTTCATCTATCAAAATAATTAAGTAAATAAAAATAATAAAATATTATAGTACCGTTCTTTTGTATGTATGTTACATAATATCTTCCTCAATCATGGGCCGAATTTTAATTAAATTGGCTGTAGTCTAAGGTGCTTAGCCGTTATTCTAGTTGGTACATTGACCTTGATTTTAAATTTGAAAAAACGTGAATTTCTTAAAGATAATAATATAATCACAAGGTGATTGGACTTTACATTGACTAGGAGTCCGTCTGGTTAATTAGAACCCTCTTACCATTTTCGACGTCAAATAGCAGTACTTGCACTGCTGTATTCCGGTCTGAAGGCTATAGAGAGCCGATATAATTAGAGAACAAGAGTTATTCCAGCTTAGCCCTTGGTGGTGATAACGCATCTGTTGCCTACTTCGTTTAAAGTTAGCTGCAGATGTTGATAGATTGCACTACCACCAGGTGTACTGTAAGTTTGCTTATTATGCTGTGGCTCAAAGACATCTACAATTTATCTTCAATTAAGAATCAAAATGCAGATGCGTTGTCAACCCTAACTGAGATAGAATGCCTCGTTTCCAGTAAAAAGAGTCTCCGGTCTCTACACTCACCATACGAAACACTGCAGTATTAAGCTGCTATTAAAGTTCGTAACGAAAATATGACAGAAGAAAAAGAGAATCCGATATAGCTCAAAGAATCTGTAAATTCATCATCTTCATCAGCAGCAGTGGCAAGTAGCAACCGATAGATCTCGAGTTTTAGCCTTGTACTGGCAAATGCAGTATTGGTTGACCCCCAACTTGATAGAGTAACGATCTGATGAAACATGCAGGTGGTTGATAAATGCAGGAAAATAATTATTATCCACTTAGACTATATCTATATATTTATTTATTTTCATAGATCCAGCAATAGTTGTTCCCATTAAATATTTGGCAATCATCTTTTTACCTGAATGTAATAATCATTTAAATGCAAATACCGCTACCAGAGAAGCAAAGTCTTTTAAAGCTTAACAACTCACTTAACAATATTCAAATAAGAGAGAGGAAATAAAACAAAATAGGACTTTATATTAATGATTAATAATCAGGGCCAGTTAGATGCATCCAAATTGATAGAGCGATATTGATACGTGTAACATTTGCCAACCCGTGGTCTAACTCCGTGGTCAACTCGTGGTCTAGTGGCGATATAAGAATATCCACTTTCCCATCTCATCCCGTGGGTGTCGTAATAGGCGACAAAGGGAAACAAATAAAGAAATGGCCTGCAGCGTCTTGTAAAAATTACTAAAAATAAAATCTACCGTGTTCAACCCGCTTGCGAAACCAAAATTTAAAATGATTATTAAAAATTTTCACCTCTTACAGCACACACGGGCCGAAATTCGATGAAGAATTCTTAAAATATGGGTTATGATAATATATGTAATGATAAAACCGTTGTGACGTAAGTGAAAAGCGTCGATAACAATGTTGCATGCTATATTGTATATGTGTACATAAATGTATATGTCGTTGTATTTTTCGAACAAACATCACCTTCGATTAATAATTAATTCCATCATTAGCTTTTCATCTTCATTATAGGATAAACCCTATCGTAATGTTGTCTGGCTATTATGAAATTCAACAAAACAAAACACGGCGAAAGTTGAGCATAAGAGGATCCGATCTCTTTACATTTTCAGCGTCTGGTCAAATAGGTGAACGAACTTCAAATCCTACGTACTCCAGGTTCCTGCAAAATACAAAGAGATATTCCTCGCTCCTGATTTCTAGCCCTCTGGGGTACCTAGTGTTTCACCGATACAGGGACGCGCCAAAGAAGAAAGTTCCCTAAATAGTGTTATATTTATATTTTATTTATATTTTTAGGTTAAGTTATATATTGCTATGGGCAAATGTTCCTAATTTTTAAGTCCTTGATGTCTGAAGTAAAATGTATAAATTATAAAAAAATAACCCCTTCTAATTGACTTTTTGTGCGCTGCAGTATAAAATAACTTATTCATGTATTCAGAGGTGGCTCCTTTTTCTTTAATGGACTTGAAAAATTGGGAGATTATCATTTCAATGTTCTTTTTTAATTTATGTTACAATATTCTTTCTTTGTTGCTTTTTAACTAATTTTTGTTTACCGATAGACTGTACTTTAACCTTGAAGTAGTTCTATATTGATTATAAATAATTCAATTATTTAAAAAATATATTCAAATATTAATTCAAGACTTGTTCAATAACACAGTGCGCGGCGGGGGCGGGCGTGTTCGAGCTGCAGATCCTCGAGTTTTCTAACTACCGGCTGCAACTGGCGTCAGGTGCGTGCTGCGGGGGCGGAGCACCGGGTGCCTCGGGCTGCGCCCGTGCTTGTCGCACGCGCTTCGCCCTTTGCCTGAAGGAGTACCAGTCGGCAGCCGCCCCTGGTGCTTGTTCCTTCGGTCGCGCCGCTTCACCAGTCCTCGGAACGGATTCCTTCACCCTCGCTGACCCGCTTTACACTCTGGCGCTGCCTTTTTCTTTTAGATGGACGGTAAATAAATATTTATGATATAAAATAAGATTCTTTTATAAATAATAGAAATACTCATCAGTATTACACCCCGTCACACGTGCACAGTTGAACTTAGCCCATCCTTCTCCATATGTTGTGGCAAACTATGCCTTATCAGTTCCTCAGATCATCACATAGTCCTCTCCCATATATTGCCTCACGGCTATTTTGCCATAGCTGCCTCACCTGCTATACGGGTTGGTAAATGCATTATCGCAGTTTTGAGTTATTATCAGGAAGATGCTGCCGCCCATATCCTGTTTCGGTTTCCCTCTGCCGCCTCCTACGACACCAAGGGACTGTATAGTGTAGTTGGATTAGTGGATAATCTTACAACGCTACTACACGGTCCTTTGAACAGTTTCATAGCTGACTCATTGTAACTTTAGCGTTTGTTATGCTCAGTCTAATGCGTTATGCTGTGTGCAATATAACATTATGATTATGGAGTGTAGAAGTAAGGAGTACCAACTCCCATAGTAGAATAGTTGAAAAAGTGTCCATCTGTAAGCAGTAAATAACAGTTCAAAAACTCTCCACAACAGCGCTGGATTAGATACTGGGATGAAATGAACTTAGCAGTTGTCGACGGTTTGAAGTATGCTGCTAAATTGCTCAGTAGCTCTAAAATCTAAAATAATTTTATTTAGTAAATATAACCTAGAAAAAGTCGTCTATACCACTAATATTTTTCGGCACGTTCTTTAAAATTTAGCCCGTAGCTATAGTGGCGCCACCCTTATTTAAAACGGTTTTCTATGGACACTTTTTAATACACAGTACTTTATACTTTTTTAGTACTCCTTACTTCTACACTCCATAATTATGATGTAACTTACATTGTAATAATACATTTACTATACTTAATTATCAAAATATGTATAACATACCTTAGCTATATCTATCTTAAGTAAGATATCGATAGAATTATAAGGCCAATACCTCAAAATAAAACAGTCAACAAAAATGGTCCCATGGTAAGGTACATCAGGCTTCCTCCCGACAATGATTTTGAATTAGATTTGATTTTAAATTTGAATTTACTTTGTTCTGTTTTCAAAGCTCAAACTCTCAAACCAATCCGAGTTAAGAAACAAGGTCGAGGTACGATAAAACGTTAACAGTGATGTTGTACATTTTTTTTTATTTGATTAATAATAATCTACGAATATTATTATCACTAGGTTATTTTGTTGAATTAAAAATTTAGGTCATTCATAAATATTTTTATTATTTATATGAGATAAATTTATTAAGTGTTCGTCGCTTGCGACTATGGACACCATCTAGCGGCAGATAGCTGAAAACCTCTATATCTTTGATAATTCCAATTAGAACCACCATTAAATTGAGCGCTAACTTTGCATTCGGGGGGTACGAATTACCTTAGAATTGAATAAAATTCGATTGCTTTTGAACCCCATTCGGTCGGGAGTATGCATGTAGTCTCCTCTCATTATTGAAAGGAATATATATATATATATATATATATATATATAAAATAGAAGTGAGAAATGTTGATCCAACTACTAAACTGTTATCCTTAACCGCCGTGTATCTTTCTAATGGCCACTTATGACTGAGATCAAATTCAGGTAGCAAACATATCATCAACTGTCGACTCCCTCGTCCCTGGTTACTAAGCGGTCTTTAATACTGCGGATATATATTTATTGCAGTGTGATAATAATGCACTTTTTTACAGCGGTCCTTCACATTGATTTTACAAGCGTATGACGACTTCAACTACACGGATCCAGGTGAGTCATTGATCTTCAAACATTTTTAACTACTAGTAACATATCTCATCCTCATGGAACTTTTCCTATATTCATTCATTCAAAATTCATTGCAAAGTAGGAACCAAGTGCATATAATGCATTTTAGAAGGGATTTTAGATTAGTCCTTGCGGTTTCTGAGGTCTTACATACATTGATAACCAGCGGCGCCGTTAAAGGACTGGACTGATTTCAGCCCGCACCGGTCTGGATATTTTACATCTATACAATAATAATAATAATAATAATAGCCATTTAATTCCCAATTTTCATACAACAGTCGATATTAGTTAAAAACCAACTACAATATTATTATGAGCCGTGCAATTTTTTTTATTTAAAAGACATGATAATGCCAGTGTCCATTTTAAAAGTTTAAATTAAATTTACAAAATTAATTTTTGATTATTTATAAATAATTTTAGGGTAAATAATCAATTTATATTTATATTTTCAAGTAATTGTCAACCTATTTTGATTTTTGACTCAAAATATACAGTTAAATAATAAAATTGAAGTTAATAATAATCTACTGAATTTGGCTATACACATAAAATAGAGTCATAATTTATTATATTAATTTTAATTAATTATGGGATACCCATTTCCGGGTGAAGGCCTCCATCCTTTTCCATGAAGTTCTGTCTGCCGCTAGCCTCGTCCACGTTGCTCATGCCACCTCTACAATGTCGTCGCACCAGCGTGCCCTCGGACGGCCGCGCGAGCGCGTCGCATCACGCGGGTACCAATGTAGCACCCATTCAGTCCATCTCCCATCACTGAATCGTCCCCTATATATTTTATTTTTATATCACTATTTCTATTCATTCTTAGTTTAAGTTAAGCATGCTGCGTTCCGTTGCTCGTTGGAAAACTTGTAGCTTAGATATTATTTTCCTTGTGAGAGCCCAGTTTTGACATCCATATAATAAAGTACAGTAGTATCCAACGCTTTCTTTTTTAATTTAATTGGTATTTTTGCCTTGAAAAAACATCTATACAAGTAAACAAAATTTAAATGTCCGTTTGTAATGTCAAAATAAAATTTTTTAGTAAATGCATATGAAAGTATATACGGTATTTATAAAAAAAATTCTGTCTGTCTATTTGTTCTGGCTAATCTGCGAATCGGATGGACCGATTTCGACGGGACGTTCATTGGCGGATAGCTGATCTTATAAGTAGTAACTTAGGCTGCTTTAATTTTAGAAAGGTAGAAAAAATTAAAACCTGATCCTATTGTAACAAATTCCTAAAGGCGAAGGGGGCCAGGTAGTTTTAAATACGTGAATCTTTATTTCTTAATTTTTAGGAGGCCATCAGATTTTTCGGATTATGTTCTATATATCTTGTAATTGTAATTTTTTTTTATAGGATAGGGTGTCAAACGAACACACAGTCCACCTGATGGTATTTGGTTGCTGTGGACCATAGACATCTACATCTATCCTAGATTACGAATCAAAACGCAGATGCGTTGTCACCCGTGAGGACTAAGATGGAATGACTCGTTTCCAGTAAAAAGGGTCTCCGATTCACCACACTCACCATACGAAACATAGTAGCATTAAGCTACTATTCGACGCTGGTATTCAATGAGAGCGTGGTCCTTCCCCGATCGAGCCGACCCATTCGTGCTACAACTATACTACTAATATAACTGCAGGTCTACCACATATAAAAATATTGTATATAAAAAAATAGTATTATAAAAATTTTGTGTGGTAAAATAAGTTATAATTAAGCTCAATTAACACACGATCCTTTCGCTATAGAGCATCTACAGCAGATATCCAAAGACATCTGCTCACCGGATTATTTGCTCGGGGATTGTAGGCGTGACGTAGGATGTATTCCATCTGGTCCTAAGTGGTGACGCATCTTTAATGTTCTTCGTTTGAAGTTGGTTCCAGGAGTTTATAGACTGCTCATACCGTTTGGTGAATTGCAAATTTGTTTCTCACTTAAATAACATAAAAAAATACCTTAGACTTGGAATTTATAGCGACTCATTCTCCATAAATTGGTGTAACCGGCTCTTACACGTAAATACATCGAAATGTAACGTTATGTGTATATTATATACTGTACAATTTAAAAATAAAATGGTGGCCAAAATAGATTAATATTTGATTACTTATTTCCTATCAATCTAGAAGAAACAGGGCTCATCGAAGAAGCATGGTGGTCAGGAATAGTAGAGCCAGGTGAAGAGTGGCATGCTTTGCGTCACGCCGGTGCCGCAGCTGCCGTCGCCTATCGCGTTCGAGTCACTTGTCAGCCCAACTACTACAACACCACATGCACGACCTTCTGCCGACCCCGCGACGACAAGTTCGGGCATTACTCCTGCTCAGCGGAGGGCGACAAGAAATGCTTGCCTGGTTGGCAAGGCGATAACTGCGAGAAACGTATGTTCTCTTTCTGTTTCCAGTTATAATACGACAGATCAGAGTGAGAGAGTCAGATTTGATATTTCTTTTTTTTAGCTGTCTGCAAAGAGGGATGTCACCCGACGCATGGTCGCTGCGATCGTCCCGGTGATTGCGAGTAAGTTCTTTTAGTGAACATGTTTTCTTTCTATGACAACTAAAAAGAATCTGAACGTTAAATTCTTTTTATTGAAAGATACAAGAGAGTCAATCATATATTTTATTATCTATTCACTACTAGTTGTCGACCTGGATGGCGCGGAGAACTGTGCTCTCAATGTCAACCGTACCCAGGTTGCAAGCATGGCTACTGCAACGGATCGTCATGGGATTGTACCTGTGATACCAACTGGGGAGGAATTCTTTGTGACCAAGGTTCTTATAACTTTTTACTTTTTACCGATTTCAAAAAGGAGGAGGTATTCAATTTAACTGTGTGTTTTTTATGTGTGTACCTCGTAACTATTCTCTGGTTAAACCGATTTTGATGATCCTTTTTTATCTGAAATATGGTGCTTCTCGTGTGATCCTATATAAATTAAATCAATATCTGATCAGTAATTTTTGAGTATTCTTAAATAATGCATATTTGACAAAGTTATTAATTTTACCACTTGACATTCTCTAAAAATCTATTAATTGTTTGAATTTTTGGTAGTTTGTTTCTACATATGTCTTTTTAACTTTCAAGTTCTTAATCATCATTATCCGTGTAGAGGCGGTGTAAGAACTAGAGATGGGCCGAATATTCGTTTTATATTCGGTATTCAGCATAATCGGCAACTTTACCGAATATTCGTATTCGGCCGAATATTCGGCAAAATCACCGAACATTCTAATGTATTGAAATGTACGAATTGAGTAATGCGATGTCTTTTACTGTTGAAAGTATATTTTATTTATGGGTTAAATTCACTTACTCTAGAGTGCCTCAAATGCATACATATATACATTTATGTTTTTGAGGCACTACAGATTTGTTTCAGATTATAGCAAATAGAAAATTGATAAAATGTTTTTGGAATCAAATAAAGAAACATTACATTACATTAGTACATTTCACTTTCTATTGGTCTTCAGTTTCTCTAAAATAAGTCCAAATAGTAGATCTACTGCTGCTCATTTTTATCATATAATTATTAATTTTCATATATATATAAACACTCACGCCTGTCACCCAGAGGGGTAGGCAGAGACTACAGACTTCCATTTAGCACGATCCTGACATACCTTTCTCGCCTCTTCCACATCCATATACCTACGCATACATGCTCGTCGGTTAAGGGTACTCTTAATTTGGCCCATTTTTTGTATATCGCCAATTTGGTCGACAAACTTCCGCCTAGGACGTCCCTTTCCGACTCTTCCATTCACTTCTGCAACAAATATTTGCTTTGTCAGTCTTTCCGCATTCATACTTTCTACATGACCAAACCACCGAAGCACTCCGTTCTTAATCCTGGTCACCGCATCATCTTGCAAACCACACTCTTCTTTTATCACACAGTTTCTCACCCTGTCACTCAGATTCAGCCCTAACATACTCCTTAGCGACCGCATTTCTACTGCATTTATTCTACTCTCGTGCTTCTTCTGCCACACCCAACTTTCACTACCATACGTTAAAGTAGGAACTAATACAGCACTGTGAATTGCCATACGTGCCTTTTTTGACACATTCTGACTTTTCACAATAGAGTGTAGAGCCCCATTTACTTTATTTCCTGCATTCACTCGTCGTTTAATATCCTTATCATATCTCCCATCCCTGCTGAATACACATCCCAAATATACGAACTCATCCACTTGCTCAATTAACTCTCCTTCTATTCTTATTTCACATACCGTTTTGCTTTCATCTCTTTCAAAAACCATCACTTTCGTCTTACTTGCGTTCACTTTTATTCCCCTTTCTTTTAATGACCTGTTCATTAATGTAACCATCATTTGCAACTCGGCCGCCGACGACACAAGTATGACTTGATCATCGGCGTACAAAAGACATTTGATGGTTAACTCACCCATTCTTAACCCGCATTCTTTAACTTTCAAATTTTCCAAACAACTGTCCATAAATAGGTTGAACAGCCATAGGGAAGCTACACAGCCCTGTCTGACACCTTTATGGATGCCAAACCGGTCCGAGTAGACCCCGTTGATTCTAATACAAGCACTCGAGTCCCTATACAGAGACTTTAATGTATTAAATTAATAATGTATTAAACCAGCGCTCAACCTAAATGCGTTCAGCGTTTGCCATAACACATCCCTGTCCACTCTGTCATAAGCCTTTTTCCAAGTCCATGAACGCACAAAAAACTTTTTGGTTTTTCGCCAAAAACTTCTCTGCGATCATGCGCATGGAAAAGACTTGATCTGTACACCCCATTCCCTTTCTAAATCCCGCTTGCACATCCCAAATTTTTTCATCAGTTTCTTTCATAACTCTTTCAATTAGTACCTTAGCATACAGTTTTCCCACAATGCTAAGAAGGCTGATACCACGGTAGTTTTTACAGTCCTGCTGTGACCCTTTTCCCTTATATATTGGGACTATCATGGCTTTGCACCAGTCTCCCGGTACCCGCTTCGTAATTAGTTCCCAACATAAATTAAACAAGGTGTACAGCAGGCCTATCACCACGTCCTCTCCAGCCCTTAGCATTTCGAGTGAAACTCTATCATATCCGGCTGCCTTACCTACTTTCATGCTTTTCATGGCTTTCATTATTTCATCTATACTTATCTCTCTATCTCTTTCATCTTCTTTCGGAATTTCTATTTCACTTAGTTCACACTTCTCCTCACTCATAAATTCGCTTTCAAAATATTCCTTCCATCTCTTTAGACTCAACACTTCATCATTCAGGATACAGCCGTTCTCGTCTCGTATCGCATTCAATCTAGGCTGTTTTGAAAGTCTCCTGGTATTTCTTACGTGTTTCCAGAACATATTTGCCTGGAAGTTATCCGATATTCTTCTATCATTCCTATCCGTTCTTTCTTGCTTTTTCCTTTCAACTAATTCTTTTACTCTCTTATTTAAACGTTTAAACTCTGCCTTTTTTGTTTCATTCTCATCATTCTTACCGCCAGAGTTACCAGCTTTGGTCGCTAGTAAATCTAGCCATGCTCTCTTCTTTGCTTCAACTTCCATACGTACCTCACCATCCCACCATAACGTATTGTCTTTCATTTCATTCGTTCTCTTACTAACACCACATACTTCGGTAGCTGCATCCACTAAACCTTTCTTAACATTATGCCACACATTCTCCAAGTCTAACTCATTCACACACAACTCATCCAAATTACTTATATTTTCTCTCAGTCTGCATTTGTACTTGTCTTTCACATCTACATCTTGTAACCTCTCAATTCTTATACGCTGTAACGCAGTGGTAGACACAGATGTCCTATGCCGCCAACGTCTGAATAAACCTCTAATTCGGCATAAGACCAGGTAGTGGTCCGTCCCTACGTTGGACCCCCCGGTAAACCCTTGTATCCACCACTGCGCTCCTCATTCTTTCATCCATAGTTATGAAATCTATCATGCTTCTATCATCACGATTTCCCAAGTATACATGTGAATCTTCTTATGACGAAAGAAAGTGTTCGTCACAAAAAGATTCCTTTCCACACATACGGTGAGGAGGCTTTCACCATTCTCATTTATACTTTCATCACCAAACGTTCCCAATATCCTTTCATAATCAAGCCTCCTCACCCCAACCCTTCCATTAAAATCTCCTAGCATAATAATATTTTCATTTCCCTTACACTTCATTAACACCATCCTTACCATTTCCCAAAACTGCTCCCGGATATAAGTGGGCTTAGACATGTCTGGGGCGTAGACCCCTAACACAAACAACTTCTTTAAGTCCACTTTCATTCGTATCCATAGCAGTCTTAGGCTTACACATTCATACTCTTTCACACATTGGCCCATTCTTTCTGAAAGGATGATACCTACTCCCTGGCATGCCCGCTCGATCTCGTCTACACCAGACCAGTATGCAGTATACATGCCATGCGCAGTGACATCCTTCCCCTTCCTTTTCGTCTGATTTACACATAATACATCTATTCCTCTATCATACATCATATCGCATACTTTATCCATTTTATCATTCATTGCCCCACATACATTCAACGTAGCCAGACGGGCCTCTGCAATCCACTTTTCACCTCTCTGGGAGACAGAACGTGACGGGTGGCGAACCTCGTCGCCGGTTTTCCTCCCGGAGATTCTTCGCACTCCTGCCCCATTAAAGGCGCGCCGGGAACTCGGGGCCATTTCTTTTACTTTTTGCCTCATGGTGCGAAAACTAGGGCGTGGCATATTTTACGCCGCTACCACACGGCGAGTAGCCGAGTCTGTTCTTTCGGCTTTGTCGCTCTTTTAGCACCACCCGGGGGAAACGTGTAGGGTGGGCCTAGGATTAGGTGGTCGAAGCCTACGGACGCGAGCGACTTATCCCCCCTATATATAATTATTAATTTTCACTAAGAATAAAACAACGAAATAATATTTTTTTCACAAGAATAGTCAAAACATAGCATGTGCCGGCAATTTGCTCAGTACTAGATGATGCAATAACTGTCAAGTGTGACGGGGGAGCGAGGGGCAGGGTCCGGGGCTAATCCCGCGCGCCTTACGGTAGTAAGTTTCGACATAAATTGGTTGGGTCCCGAGGTTATCCTGCCGAATAATGTTCGGCCGAATATTCGGTTCAGTAAAGTTTTACCGAATATTCGGCTGAATATTCGTATTCGGTGAAATCCATATTCGGCCCATCCCTAGTAAGAACTTAAAATAATAAGAAAATTGCGGCTGCCAACCCGCTTGCCAAGCGTGGTGACTATGGCCAAAATCCCCCCATGAGGCAATCTATGAGGAAGGCCTATGTTCAGCAGTGGACTTTTATAGGCTGTAATGGATGGAAAGGATGGATGAATCACAATTATTTCTCGGTTATATAATATGATAAACAATTTACAGATCTCAACTACTGTGGAACACATGAACCCTGTCAACATGGCGGCACTTGTGAGAATACGGCACCAGATCAGTATCTTTGCACCTGCGCCGAAGGCTTCTCCGGTGTGGATTGCGAACGCGTAGATAATCCTTGCGCACCCCAACCGTGTGCTCATGGTTCCTGTACGTTATCATCAACTCCACCTGGATTTGTTTGCGCGTGTGAACCCGGTTGGACCGGGCCTCTATGTGATGCTGATGTCGACGACTGTGCCAGCTCGCCTTGCAGAAATGGTGGTCTCTGCCGTGACAGACTTAATGCATTTTCTTGTGAATGTACAACAGGATGGACGGGATCAACTTGCAGCGACGGTAAGTATTTTTTTACTACCTCCTATTTGAGTTTATTTTAAATTTACGTAAAATGATATGACAGGGGAGTTGATCGAGCAAGTAGATGGGTTTGTATATTTGGGATTCGTATTTAGCAGGGATGGGAGATATGACAAGGATATAGGACAACGAGTGAACGCAGGAAATAGAGTAAATGGGGCATTGCATTCTATTGTGAAGAGTCAGAATGTGTCAAAAAAGGCACGTATGGCAATTCACAATGTAAATTATAAAGTACTAACACAGTGTGAACAAAATTCACACTGTGTTGGTACTTTAACCCTACTTTAACGTATGGTATTGAAAGTTGGGTGTGGCAGGAGAAACACGAGAGTAGAATGAACACAGTAGAAATGCGGTCGAAAAAAACGCCGCTTAAAAAAAAGTTGTTAAAATTAATTTTTTTCCAAACCCAGCCCCTTTTCTTTTTTACCCCTATATACTTACTTCTTTTTTTTTTTATGATAAAAAACTACCCCAAAACAAAAAAACAAAAAAACAAAAGAGGAAAAAACAAAACACCACTAATATTGTATTTTAAAAAAAAAATTTTTAATAAATAAGAAAAATCAAAATTTTTATAAAAAATTAAATATAATTAAAAAAATATTAATAAAAAATATTTTTTTTTTTTTTTTTAATTTTGGTTTTTTTTTTTTTTTTTTTTATTTAAAAAAAACCAAACACATTAAGGAGTATGTTAGGGCTGAATCTTAATGACAGGGTGAGAAATTGTGCGTTATGAGAAGAGTGTGGTTTGCAAGATGATGTTATGCCAAAGATTAAGAAAGGAATGCTTCGGTGGTTTGGTCATGTGGAAAGAATGAATGGGGAAAGAGTTGCAAAGAGAATGTATGTTGCGGAAGTGAACGGCAGAGTCGGAAAGGGACGTCCTAGGCGAAAGTTTATCGACCAAATTGGCGATATACTCTACTGATAACGGTCCAAATTAGGAGTACCCTTAACCGACGAGCATGTATGTGTAGGTATATGGATGTGGAGGAGGCGAGAGAGGTATGTCAGGATCGTACCAAATGGAAGTCTGTAGTCTCTGCCTACCCCTCTGGGTGACAGGCGTTAGTGTTTATGTTATGTTATGTTATTGTATGACATTCTTCTGAGAAAATTTATGATTTCTAATTCATACATAATTAAAAATACTATAAAACTTTCATTTTTGGTTTCGTGGACTATTTGCCTGATCTTTTAACTATGAATGTGGCATGAACCGCATATCAATTAAAGTGTTGTATGTTTAAAACTGTTGTTTAAATATTTCTGACATTTTATTCAGATGTTAACGAATGTGCTGAATCCGGAGAGAACAACACTTCTGAAGGTAACCTTGGACCATGTGTGAACGCAGCAGCTTGTAACAATACAGCAGGCGGCTACGCGTGCACATGCCTCGCTGGATGGACTGGACGAGATTGTGAAACTAACGTGGATGACTGTACGGGTCAATGTCTCAACGGCGCCACTTGCATCGATCTCGTTGATGACTTCCACTGTGCTTGTGCTGCTGGATACGCAGGACGTACCTGCGCACGAGACGTTGACGACTGCGCGTCACGCCCTTGCCGAAACGGGGGCGAATGCGTTGATCTCTTGGACGCCTATCGTTGCATTTGTCCGGTCGGATTTTCTGGGACAGATTGCGAGGTTTGATACATTGTTGATTGCTTGATAAATTATTCATACTATCTTTATTTAACCTGTTCATTGCCACATCAAATCAGCTTTAGTTCTTTTACTTTTATTGGTATTACTATTGACGCGAAGCTTCAATGGGGCCCATATATCAAAATTATTATGTAGACTTAGTTCTGCAGCATATACTGTAAGAAAGATTAGAAGTCTCACTAATGTAGAGACAGCTAGATTTGTTTATTTTAGTTAATTTCATAGCGTAATGTCTTATGGAATCTTACTATGTGGTAGTCGACTGACATTGAAGTCATATTTGTTTTGCTAAAGAGAGCCGTCCGGGCGATTTATAACTTAAATTGTAAAGAGTCCCAAAAAGAAAAATTTAAAGCAATAAACATATTAACATTGGCATCGCAATATATTTATGAAAATGTAATGTATGTACATAATAAGATAAATAGCTTTCATAAAAATAAAGATGTTCATACTTTAAATACTTGAAACGAACATAAGCGTGTAAGTTACTATACTCCACAAAATTAGTAACTCGTTTATGGGGTAATGTATACGGTTCTACAACAAAATCCCAGAAAATTTACAAAATTTGTCACTAAACCGGTTTAAATGTTTTATTAATTAATAATAAATAAAAAAAATATTGTACAAAAAGGGTTATTACAATATCAAAGAATACATAAAAGAAAATAATTCCAGAATTAGGTTATCGCCACCATGCTGGTTTTATAAAAATTAATTCAAAACTTATACAAAATAAATTATTTTAAAGTGAAATATGTTTAAAAAAGGTACCGCTGGGTTTCCTGCTGGTTCTTCCCAGAACAGAGTTTTTATTTTCCAAACCAGTGGTAAATAAAAAAATTACTTTCAATTACTATTATTCAATATTATATATTGAATAAAAATCATTCATTTCATTTCATTTCAGTATCAAATCGTATAAGTAATATAACAATTTTTGGTCATTTATGATTCTCTCTCTCTCTCTCTCTTCTCTCATTTATATAAAGAAATAGCAATTAAATGCAAAATTATCATATATTTTAATATACTCTTCTTAATGCTTTTCTATTTGAGTATGTATTTTCTAAATCAATGATGCTGCTTTTTGTGTTAACATTATTTCACACTAATTTTCAAGCATCTGCATTAACCCACTAACGAACATTTTGCTTTTAGCTATCTTCCTGTCTTGGACGCTACTGCCCGGTGAGTTTTAAATGTAAGCGTATTTTAATTTGTGAATTTGAAAATATCATATGTTTTATATAAACTGCGGATATCTATGTTTTAACAGAGAATCTAAACCATCAGAAGATTCGTATAGTATTCGTGATATTATATGATCGTCCAACTGTTCAATTCCTATTCGCCTAAACCTTAACGAACTCATTCGAACACTTTTGCCAAAACTCCGTATCCGTTACCGTTGCAGCCCGTTAATGTCCACTGCTGAACATAGACTGTTCTTATAGATTGCCCCAGGGGTGGGGGGGAGGATATTTTAATAGTTGGCTTTTTATTTTAGTCGTTACTAGGAAGACGCTGCTGTTCTTCATATCCTGATTTGTTTCTCTCTGTCGCCTCTTACGATATCCACGGGATGATATGGGGTAGTGGATATTCTTAAACCATCACTACGTGGTAAACCTTCGTGTGTAAAGTTACAGCCTATATACTTCTCACTGCTGGGCACAGGCCTACCCTCATTTCTAAGGGGGTTTTAGGGCAAGGGAGTGTCCGCTGCGCTGCCCCAAAAAGTAATAATAAGAAAAAAATATGTCTTCGACATATTTTTTTTTCTTATTCCTCAGACATGCAGATTTCTTCACGATGTTTTCCTTCATCGCCGAGCACGTGGTAAATCAACACTTAAAATTGCAATTAACAATTTCATTGGCGCCGGCGGGGATCGAACCCGGGTTACTAGCGTTCTGTTAAAACCTTCGTATGAACGACGAAAAATTGAAAAATATTGACTAAAACAATGTTGTTGATAGTTAATAGAAATGCTTATTAATCATCACATCACATCACATCGAATAATTAGATTCGTAGTTCAGAGGAACAGGTTTTACAACGAGTTAGTGACTTCGGTATCAGCTACATCTATCCATCTATCATATTTTTTATATAAACATATACATGGAACCCGCGCCCTACAGTGTTGGATGATTCGTTTGAGGGTTGAACCATCTTTGCAGGCTGCATAAAATTTAAATTTTTAACCAGATTATAAACCATGGTTGCGATAAGTAAGTACAAATATGCTATGTTAAAATATTATATCTACGAGTATAAAAATGTCGACTCAACTAATACTCAACAGCTAAGCAACGCCTTTTGTTTAAAAATCTTTCTTTAATATTTATGTAATATTTCTTTTCAATGATTATATTTAAAAGTAGGCACAGTGCAGTGAAAAAGAAAATACAAAGAAATTTCTAAAAGCAACAAATTTTCTTCTTCTGTAGGACGACCGAGACCATTGTGCAGGATCACCGTGTGCAAACGGAGCGCCTTGCTATACAGCCCAAAGTGACTATTATTGCCACTGCGCCCCGGGATGGACTGGCAAGAACTGTACGCAGCGCGCCGCCAGAGACCGTTAGTAATATATTATCAAATAAATAAATTGTTGATGAAAAGTAGGACTTCACTAAATAGTATAAAAAACTTAGAGTTTATAAGCGTTTAATAAAAACAATATTAGAATCAAAATAAACTACTGAATACCCTAACAGACTCCGAACAATGTGTTTTTACGAAATCATATAACATATGTATTATGTATTCATAAACGCCAGTCGAAATTCAAAAATTTTACTATTGCAACTTGCGTATTTAAAACGAAACAATCGTCAATTAATAGTACTTTCGTACTACTATTGTGGTACTATTTGCCTAACGGGCCACAACATAGGTACGCAACATGAGGAACGTTTTTTTTTTAATTTATTGTTTTTTACTATAATCTTTATGCATATATACTTTCAAATTGTTATATTTCCCAAATTATGTAGTGTTTTCTTTTCTTTCTTTTTTAAATTTTGTTTTACTATTTTTAATTCATGTAGTTTAAATTAAACTTTAACATTTGAGACATGTTAAAACCTAAGTGCCTACTGATGTTTGTGGCTTGTTGCAAAAATGTTTCTTTTTTCTTTCTACCACATTCATTGGGCGCGTCTGGCAGAAAAAAGCGCTGGCAAGCGCTTACAAGCGCTGAAATAGTTTTCGGCAAGGACACGATTGCTACTTCAGTAGCGCTGACACAATCCGCCATTTTGCTTATATAATTTGTTTGTTTTGAAGTAGAGTTTAGAAGTTGTTTTGTGCAATATTAGTTTGAAGTAATATAATGACATGAATAAACATATACATGTTATTAAAATTTCATGATTGGTAAGTTTTTAATATGAATACTTTACAAACATATATTTAAATTAGGTTAGGTTCCCCGGTTAAAACTAACTTCGTGTCCTAGAGGAAAATAGCTACTTACGATTTGATAGCGCTTACCGCTTACGATCGCCATTTTGCTTATAAGCGCTTGCTAGCGCTTTTTTCTGCCAAACGCACCCATTGTAGTTGGTACTTAATACCTCATACTTATTGAATATCGAATCTTGATACTTACGTGAATATGTCAATCTTGTCGATAACTATACGTATATGTTAATAATACGATTTCGCCAAAACTTAGGCTCAATAGATGACACGATACGAAAATGTTCTGTAGTTTACTATACCTCAAATAATTGTCTCGCTGTCAGATCCTTGTTAACGTCACCCTTTTTATCCATTACTCTCATTCTGATTTATTATTCTGATAATGTTCGTTGAAATCGTTTTTTTTTTATTTAGAAAGGCCAAGACCATATTTATAATAAGCCATTTAGTATGTGGTTGCATAAATATTAAACATCAATAATTTCAAAACACAAAATATTTATCATGAGTGTATGAATTTAAAATGTCTTCAAGTTTGAATTATTATTTATTATAATTTTTATAAAGTTTTTTCATACTGAATAAAACTATTTATACAGCTTTTATCGCGTTTAACTAACTTCGTTACATTCATCGCAATAATTAAACGCGATAAAATTCGTATAAATAGTTTTATTCAATGTGTAGTGTTCGCGTCAATATAAGAAATCATTATGTTCTTTCATTTTTTAATTTAATTAATGAATTAATTCTGATTTCAATAGCAGATCCGCATACGTTTTCAGAGGTGGACGAGTGCACGGCAAATCTCTGTCGAAACAATGCTACGTGTATTCCGAAGCCCAACGGCTTCGCTTGTGTTTGCCGTGAGGGTTGGACAGGTAAAGTGTTTCTTTAAACTTCTTTATCATTATCCGTTCCGTTTTTTTACAAAACATGTATTATTGATAGGTTCGGGTTTACTATGGTTTAGGAGTTTGTCCAGTTCAGAGTTTAAGAGTCTTAACAGTTTTTGTTTATGTCATTTTTCGAGGGGCACAAGTCATCGCGAAATTCATCATTTGAGGTCAATTCCATAATTTTGGTTCGAATATTCTCGCGGGACTTCTTTCGTGCGGCAGGTTATGATTTTTTTATAGTATAAGGGTCACAAGCGAGCGCACGGTCCACCTGTGGTTGCTGTGGCCCTAAGACATCTACATCCATCCTCGTTTGAGAATCAAAATAGATGCGTTACCAGCCGTGAGGACTAAGATAGAATGCCTCTTTTCCAGTTAAAAGGGTCTCTGGTTCTCTACATTCACCATTGGAAATACATCAGCATTAAGCTGCTATTTTACGCTGGTATTATGTGTGAGCGTGGTCCTTCCCCGGTCGAGCTGACCCATTCGTGCTACAACTATACAATTAATATAGTTGCATCATGGCTCTACCACGTTTAAAAACATAATTTAAACATGAAACTAAATGTAAACTACTTTTTGTGTTTATAATTACAATAGTAGTGATTACTGGGGCAGTGAAAGAGAATTTATCACTGTATTACATCCTGTAGGTGTCGTAAGAGGTGACTATGTGAAATAGCAGAAGTTTTTTTTTACTTCCGATAGATGGCGCTATAACCATCGCTTTCAATACATACTTGAAATACCCAGACCGACGACGGGCAGCAGTATCAAAGGTGCAAAACGTCTACTGCAATCGTCAATCCACCTGTCAAACGTGTTAAATCCTCCCTACAGTGGAATGTGGGATATGTCTAGCTGTGGAGTTCAAAGAGCTGATAATTTTAATAATAATTATATTATCATCATCATCATTACAGCACTTCACAAGTCTACTGCTAAACGTAGGCCTCCCCCAAGGAATACCACAAATGAAGATCCTGTGCCACCTGCATCAATCGACTTACTGCCGTACCCGGTCGTCACTCTATCTAGTGCTGAAGAAGAAGAAAGAAGCTACCGCTTGAGAACCTTCTTTCGATTCCATCAGTTGCCGGTTCTTCGAGCCATATGGCTGGCCTATTGCCACTTCATATTACTAATACGTATGGTTGTCCTGCGCATATCCTCATTTTTAAGTCCATCGTACATAGAAACCCCAAGCATAAACCTCTCCATTGCTCGTTGAGCGATCTTAAACTTCCTCATACGGCCCGCAGTTAAAGACCATGTCTCAGATCCATTAGTCATCACTGGTAAAACTGTTTGTATAGTGGCATTGTAACGGTAATTCGTCCCGTTGGAGTTGTAAGAAGAGACTATGAGAATATCCAGAAAGACCACATGGCCCCGTCTAGATTGCTAAAATTTGATGGCATTTTATTTTTTTTTAGCTTTTTGAAGACGATTTTATTTTTTATGTATATTTTACTAAAAGATAATTTATCGAGGATTTAAATCGGCACAAGAGTACAGTAGTACATAGTATACGTAGAATACACATTAATAGTCATTACATTTCACAGGCGATACATGTTCATTACGCATGGAAGACCCTGGTCGTTGTGCGGAGGGACTCTGTGGAAATGGTGGCACATGCGTTCGAGAAATTGGCATATGGCGTTGCGCCTGCCCCGCTGGTTGGGCTGGCCCTTCTTGTGAAACATCCTTAGCCCCACTAGCACCGCCCACCGTTGCATCCCCACTCGTACCACTAGCGCCAATACCAACAACAAGTTGCGCTTGTGCTCATGGTGGAACTTGTATCCAAGCTGTTGTTTCACCTGGATGGGCGTGCGTCTGTCGTGAAGGTTGGACGGGAGCACGATGCGAACGTGCTGCTGACGGTTGCGCTTCAACTCCTTGTCGCAACGGAGGACGATGTGTCGGTGGTGCTGGTTGGTGGACATGTGAGTGCCCCGCGGGATGGACTGGTACGGAATGTTCTGAGGCGGCGTGTGATCCTGCTTGTCCGCCGCCTGCTACATGTGCGTCCGATGCGGAGCGGGGTGCAAGATGTGTTTGTCCTCCACCACCTGCGAGGCTAGCCCGTCACTGCCTTGAATGTAAGTAAATTGTTTATGAATCAATTTCTTAAAATTATTTATATATTCTAATTTTACGGATTTATCGCATACATACATAATACATACATAAACACTCACGCCTGTCACCTAGAGGGGTAGGCAGAGACTACAGACTTCCATTTAGCACGATCCTGACATACCTCTCTCGCCTCTTCTACATTCATATACCTACACATACGTGCTCGTCAGTTAAGGGTACTCTTAATTTGGCCCATTTTTAATATATCGCCAATTTGGTCGACAAACTTTCACCTAGGACGTTCCTTTCCGACTCTTTCATTCATTTGTGCAACATATATTTGCCTTGTCAGTCTTTCCTCATTCATTCTTTCTACATGACCAAACCATAGAAGCATTCCTTTCTAAATCCTGGTCACCGCATCATCTTGCAAACTACACTCTTCTTTTATCACACAGTTTCCAACCTGTCACTCAGATTCAGCCCTAACATACTCCTTAGCGACCGCATTTCTACTGCATTTATTCTACTAATTTTATTTATCTTAACTTATTTTCCATTCCCACCTAAGTGATCATCATCATCATCATTACAGCCCTTCACAAGTCCACTGCTGAACATAGGCCTCCCCCAAGTAATGCCACAAAGCACGGTCCTGAGCTACCTGCATCCATCGACTTCCTGCATGTCTTACCAGGTCGTCACTCCATCTAGTGGGGGGTCGCCCTAACCTACGCCTGCTGGTACGAGGCTGCTACTCGAGAACCTTTCTTCCCCATCGGTTATCGGTTCTCGAGCTATATGGCCGGCCCATTGCCACTTCAGCTTACTAATCCGTTGGGCTATATCGGTCACTCTGGTTTTACTGCGGATATCCTCATTTCTGAGTCTATCACGCAGAGAAACTCCAAGCATAGCCTTCTCCATAGCTCACTGAACGACCTTGAGCGTCCTCATACGGCCAGTAGTGGAGGACCACGTCTCAGATCCGTAAGTCATCACTGGCAACACGCACTGGTTATACACTTTAGTTTTCAGAGATTGAGGTATACCTGACGAGAAGATGTGTCGTAATTTCCCGAACGCTGCCCAGCCGAGTTGAATCCGTCGATTGACCTCTCGGTCGAAGTTGGACTTACCTAGTCGGACTATTTGTCCCAGGTAAACGTACTCGTCAACAACTTCGAGCATAGTGCTCCCAACAAGTTCCGGCATAGGTGTGACATGGACATTAAACATGATCTTTGTTTTGTCCATGTTCATCTTAAGACCTATTCGTTGGGAGACACCATTGAGTTTATTGAGCATAGTGCTAAGGTCCTCCAGCGATTCTGCCATAAGGACTTATAGCATGTTAACTTAGTGTTCTACTGGTAAAATTTTACAAATAGGGAATAACTTATTATAATCTTTCTTATAATTTTCTTTAACTCTTTCATTTACAAGATATTTTAGAAATTTTGTCTCTAGATTTTTAATGTCCTTTATATAGGAAGAAAAAGTACGACCGTACACACCAAGTCCATAGGTTATGAGGCAATCCACCAAAGCGTAATATAGAAGATACGTAGATTTTTTGTTCAATATATATTTTAAATAATAAAATTTACATAATACAGCCGACAACCTTGCACATACATCATATATTTGAGGTTTCTAATTTTTTATCGATAACCAGTCCTAAATACTTAAATTTATCAACAAATTCTAATTTCTTTACGTTTACAATCAATTTTATTAATATGCAAGCACTCAAAACAATGGCCTACAACAGATATCTCATTTAATGTGGTCTTTTTTTGCTGCAGCATTATATGAAATGAGAAATTATATATATATATATATATATATATATATATATATATATATATATATATATATATATATATAATATATATATATATTGAATTAGATTTATATATTGAAATTAGAGGAGATAAAATCAATTTATAATTATTTTTTACTAATTTCCTACACTAATTTATATAGACATTATATAGGCATGTTTATTGATCGTTTATGTCAGAACAATACTTAACGATTAATAAAACCACTAGTAAAATAAACGTGATAAAATCAAATTGTACTATTGTTAATTAATTCTTATATGAATTTGCCAAACGGTCAATAAAACTCTACCTAAAATTAAACGTAATAAAATCCGTAAATTCAGTTTTTTCAAATTTTTACATTTTTTCCGAAATAGGAGACTGATAAAATAGCTAACAGATCACATAATGGTAAACATCTACTACAACCCTTAGACACCTCCAATAATCTTCAAAGAAATCAAACCAAAGGTTCATTACCGCCTAAAGACTAAAATGAAATGGCTTATAGCCTATTATTAAGCTGTGCACCAGTGATTGAGGGCGCAGTAGCACACTGGTAAACCTTTTGGTAATGGCGCCCGTACGGTGTGTGTAAAGTCCCTCCACTGTATATATGATACTAAATTGGTCCACATACATATTATGTACATATTGGGTGCGTTTGGCAGAAAAAAGCGCTAGCAAGCGCTTACAAGCACTGAAATAGTTTTCGGCCAGGACACGATTGCTACTTCAGTAGCGCTGACACAATCCGCCATTTTACTTATTTAATTTGTTTGTTTTGAAATAGAGTTTATAAGTTGTTTTTGTGCAATATTAGTTTTAAGTAATATAATGACATGAATAGACATATACATGTTATTAAAAATTCATGATTGGTAAGTTTTTAATATGAATACTTTACAAAAATATATTTAAATTAGGTTAGGTTCCCCGGTTAAAACTAACTTCGTGTCCTAGAGGAAAATGGCTACTTACGATTTGACAGCGCTTACCGCTTACGATCGCCATTTTGCTTACAAGCGCTTGCTAGCGCTTTTTTCTGCCAAACGCACCCATTAATATCACTATTCACTATGCGTAGGTACTTCTAGTGATCCCTTTTCCAAAAGATGGTCAGCAGCATCTTCTTACAATAGAAAAAAGTTGTGGTTCCCAAACCGACCACAAGCGTGGTAACTACAGCAAGTATCTTTCCTATAAGTTAATCTATGGAAGGGGGCGCTATCTCCAGCAGTGATTCTGACAGGCTGTAATGGTGACGGTAAATTTTATTTCAGTAATTGCGGGGCTAGGTGTCGAAGGTGCGGACGTAGAGGCAGCACCGGCGGCGTGTGGTGCAGACAATGGCACGTGGTGGTGGGGCTGCAACGCATGTCGTTGCGTCGCAGGAGCGCCCGCATGCACGCGCCTGTGGTGCGGCTTACCTGACTGTTTGGCTCCAGGAGCGCAACCGTGTAGAACCGATGAGGTTTGTAATGTCTTTTTTCTCCTAGTGTTTATCATCTATCCTTGACTAAGGCCGGTAATCAGAGATAATCATGAGCTTAAACTGAAACTCCACAACGTTAGATTTTTAGTCTAGAACATAATGAGATACACAAATTTTGATATTGTGAAGATTGAGCTTAAATTTGTGAATGCTCCTGAATATGAATACTGGCCTGTCATACACGTTAAAATTACACATAATGCTGTCAAAGAACCACCCAGGACGTCCTATTATCACTGCTAGAAACCCAATTCGCTCAATGATCATACAAATTTTAATAAACAAATGTTACAAACGCCTTTTAATATTACATATAATTAGACTTTATTCCAAGACAATAACAACGAATACGCAACGAATTTTTATAGACTGTCGCTTTCTAAAAAGAAAGAAAAGGAATCATCATTAAAAATTGTATGCAAACTAATTTCAAATACAATCGCAGTAAGTATTATTTTTTTCTTATTATATATAAAAAGTTGTTGCAAACGTTTACGATGCATAGCAACATATTAGTCTGTGCGTTTGAATTTTTTAAGAAAACTGCAAAAATGGTTTATGTAAATAAAAATATATCATAACTTATACAAAAAGTATCAATAGTAGTAAATAGTACAGTATTGGTAAACCAACAGCAGGCAAGAGCAAAATCGGAAGAAAACTTATTAAAATACATATAATGAAATACATTTTTTAACTTGTAACACAAAAATTGTTAGTAATTTTGTGTTACATTAATACACTCAACCATTTTTGAGAGATTAAGCGTGTAATGAACATACAGTATGTAGTAATAATACGTAACCAGAAGATCTAAAATCTTTATTGAAAATTTTCAGTGATACGTATATAGGGAACAAAATTACAGTTTATCAAAAAACATTTATAACAATTTATTCTTAGGTCATCAAAGGACTATTTTTCACCGTATTTGATCGCATCTATTTAGCTTAATGATTTCTTAAATTTACGCGAACACTGACCCGAAAATTTTTATTATATTTTTATTATAGATCGATTATATTTTTATTATCGTAAGGGTAATAAAAATAAATTAAAGTTATAATTAAATGCGATAAAATCCGTAAATAATAGTTTTATTCAATCTATTTAGCTTGTCATTATACCAAGTACAATTTTAAAAAGCGTTATTACCGGTATCAGTAAAATTTTGTTACATCCCTAGTACTGTGGTTTTATACATCAATATTTCTTTACTTTTAATTCTAATATTCACAAAATATGAATAGTTTTGACTTATTGGTGAAAGGATATACCACTTTTGTTTAAATTCCACATCTGACTGTTTTTCCCACACGTCATTATCGCTCAAATCGGCGTTTTTTAAATAAATTGCACACAGCAACACTTGACATAAATATTTGGGCAACGACTGTGACGTCAAAAGAGATGTGTTGACATTAATAAGTGTGAATTGACATGTAAGTGGATACGCGGGCACCGCCCACTCTTCCATTCCATTGTGTATGTGTTATAGTATTCTATGGTTACTGCTGAGAACGAAAGGGATGCCTCGACTGTCGGTTTTCGCTTGCATCCTTTGTTACTTTTATACGTGTTAGGACCATACTGTAGTTATATTAGCAGTATTGTTGTAGCACGAATGGGTTGATTCGACCGGGGAAGGACCACGCTCTCACAGAATACCAGCGTAAAATGGCAGCCTAATACCGCTGTGTTTCGTATGGTGAGTGTAGACATCCAGAATCCCTTTTTTTACCGGAAACGAGGCATTCCGTCTTAGTCCTCAGGGGTGACAACGCATCTGCGTTTTGATTTTTAATCGAGGATAAATATAGATGTCTATGGGTCACAGCATCCACTTACCATCAGATGGACTGTGTGCTCGTTTGTTACCCTTATTCTGTTAAAAAGGCAGCAGTACGTACACTGAAGTGTATAGAGAGCTAATACAATGCTGTGAATCATTCCACCTTAGTCCTCAGAGGTGACAACGCATACGGATACGTATAGACAGAACTAAACAAAGTAGGCTACAGAACCTTCTTTCTTTAGAGTTGGTTGCACATATCCATGGGCTGCCGTAATCACTTACCGCAAACGAGCTGTCTAGTCCTGAATCGATGGTAAGTGTATTACGGGATGTAATACACTTACCATCGGTTCAGGACTAGACAACTCGTTTGTACATTTAAGTAATTTTCTAAAGAAAAGCTTGGTTCTTCCCAGTCAAGCTGACTTTGGCAGCAGAAAAGCTCGCTGTACTGCTGTGTGCTAAGAAGTTATCTTTACACTCTTAAATTAGGTTCGCGTGTATCTATCTAATAGAATGTAAAGTAGCTAAGTAACAGAATATTTGAATGTAATTTTCACCAACTTGTAGGTATATGACCGATGACTTGATAATTTGCACTCGTATCGAGGACAGATGAAATAACTTTATCCTAGTATCCTGAACTGATAACAAGGATAAAACAAAATAATTTTATCTTTATCGTGTTTCTTAAGTTTTTAAATTGTAGTTTATTTAAACCTAGGTTTGCGTACCGGCGGCCCCAGCGCTCTGTCTGCGTTCACCTTGCGCACCGCTAGGTGAGTGCAGGCGTGTGGCTGGGCGCCGTGTGGAGCCACCAGCACTACCAGCGCCGTCAACTTGCTGGCCCGGAGCACGGGGCCCACCTCCAGCTGGCTGCGCTCGTGCTGAGCTCCGGCTGGCTCGCGAGAGACTAGCCCGCGGTGCACACGTTGAGCGTGCTTGTGCAGCGCTGAGACGTGCTCTCGCAGCCGCACTGGCTCCTCGTTCACCGCCCGCTCCACCGCTCGCGCTTCTTTGTGACCTCGCGCCTGATGACGACGATGCTCTCGATCTTGCCTTGGTAAGCACTCGGAAAGTTGCTTTGCTTTTAGTATTTCAGGTTTCAAGCAATTTTGCGCAGTTAAATTTCTAAATAATACTTTACTTGTTAAGTAGATTGCGTTCTTGGGCATATACAGCAAACTCTAAGCCAAGAACGACAGAGATTTGTTGTCTATTTAATCAAAATATTTTTTCAATTCGAATCGAAAGACAAGAGTTGAAAAGAGATGAAATGCTGTCTAACTGGAAAAACCAGTCAAGAGTAGTCGTACCTACAGACAGACTCCTCAGTAGAAGTCATGTTTATAGTTAGATAGTAGCATCAATTACAGTCTATAAAAGGTTTTCTGCTGAACATATACTCTTACCATTTACTCGTATGTAATTTTTCTGTAGTTGACATGCTTGGCAAGTGGCTTGGCTACTGCAATTTTTAGTTTTGAGTTATTATCTGGGAGGTTTTGCCGCCAATCTCCTGTTTCAGTGTCCCGCTGTTGCCTCTTACGACATCCACGGGATGACATGGGGTAGTAAATATTCTTACATCGCCACTACACGGTAACAAGCGACTGCAATAATTTCTGGAAGCTTGATGTCGTGTTTAATTTAATTCCAATTTGTTCTTTAACAGTGGGTCGGTGAAGAAGAAGGAACTGAAGGTGACATTGGTACTGGAGAAACTGATGCAGGAGCGCTAGCTGCCGCTGTGCGAGCTTTAAGCGAACTCGTATCTAGAAGGCGTTTAGCACAGCACGCATTATTAGGCGCCGCGTTAAGACTGCGCGTAGTCCACGCATCGCCACCGCCACCTGTAGCTGAAGCGAGTTCATCGCCCTCTGCAGCATTGATAGCGCTCGCAGCTATTATTTCGCTACTACTGGTTGGCGCTGGAGCAGCTGTGGCGTTGTTTGTTTGCCGACGTCGCGCAGCCGCTGTAGCCGCTGCGGCGGAGCGCTTGCGACGTCGCGACGAAGAGAAATCGAATAACCTACAGAATGAGGAAAATCTACGGCGTTACGCGAATCCATTGCGCGAGGAGCGACCGTCGGATGAGTTGCCGCGTGCCCATTCGCTATATAAAGCGCAGAATGCCGATGCGAGGAACAACACCCCGCCCCGCGACAAGGAGTTGACAAAACGCGCGTTGCCGCCGCCCGAGCCACCGCCCGCCCGACACCCGCCACCCGAGCGTCTCACCGTGCTAGTGTGAGCCCGCGTGTGATACTAGTGTAGTCTGGCTTAATGTGGTAACGTAATGACCGTAGAGGCTTATGAATAACTTCGCCTTTGAAATAAAAAAAAAATGTAGATTTTACAGCGCATTTTAAAATACAGGTTACAGTTACAGTACAGTATAGTTACAGTAACAGTATAGTTTCAGGTACCTTAGATAATTGGTTGGTGTTGTTTTTGTAACATTCTGAAAACAAGTTGTAACATATTTTTTACGATTCTATAAATCTTTTCATTCATTCAGACAATATTAGTTCATGTTAAAAGTAATCTATGCCTGATGTCACTGTGTTGCCACACGTAGCCCGCCGTAGCTTAGATTATAGTGTGTATGAACCTTAAAGAGAGACAAGTGACATGTCACGTCCCTATTTAATTTATTGTGTTAGTGATGCCGTGCTGTAAATATGTATTTTTGTAAATAATGTTAAAGAGTGTAATAATTTTTTTGAATGTTTTATTGAGAGATTATCCGATGAGAATGTATTACTGTAAAGGTTGTAAAGTTGATATGGAAAGTGATCGTTGTAATTAAATTCTAATAAAATTATTTATAAGTTTTTTCTTTTAAAATTAATCAATTCAATTTCCTCTGATTTGGCTATATTACATAATTTATAAAAAAAAATACTAATAATATAAAAATTACTAATAATATAAAAATTACTAATTGATAAAAAAATTTATTTTATAAATTAAGAGTATTAAGAATAAGAGTGATAAACGAGCACATAGTCCATTTGAGTGTTGTGGCCTATAAAAAGTTACATTTATTCTCGATTAAAAATCAAAATGCAGATGCATTGTCACTCCTAAGGACTAAGATGATGTGCCTCGTTTCCAGTAAAAATGGTCTCCAGTTCTCTACACTCACCATACGAAGAACAGCATTTGTATTTATAGTGCAAAAAAAAATGCATCAGAGCCATATGTGGGATTCCACCGGGCGAGTCTTGTAGAGCAGCGTTTTGGAGCCTGGGCTTACTTCCTTTGCCAGCACTGTACATATTTGAAACGAGTTGTTTTGTAAAACGCCATACTGAGCTCTTTCAGAAAGCCAGAGATATAAACTCTCGATGGAAAAGAAATCCGGAGCGATTAGTATTAAGCGTCATTCCAAGATCTGCTAAATTCAGAAAAAGTTGTTTAGCAATGTGTGTTAAGGTGTATAATAAGATCCCCAATGACATCAAAAACCTCAAAATGAATTTATTCAAATCGAGACTCTATAAGTGGCTTATTGAACTTAAAGTGTATGACATTGAAGAATTTATTGACATTAAGCTTTAATAATTTTTGATTTGTTGACATTGTTTTTAATGAATATATTTGACCCCTTTGAAATAAATGTTACCTGAATATAATCTTAAATTTGCATGCTAATTATAAGCAAAACATGTGAACTTATTTTACTGTACCACCTACAAACACCATGTTTTAAGCAAATAAAGAAATTATTATTATAGCAGCGCTAAGCTGCTATTTTACGCTACCATCTTGTGAGAGCGTGGTCCTATTCGGGTCGATTCGACACATTCGTGCTACAACCATAATACGAGTATAGCTGCAGCGTGAAGAAAATTAAATTCGTATACTTTCGTTTACATTTCTACAATAATCTGACTAGCCGAACAGTCGCACGTGCCCTGTGTGCCCTTGGCACGAGTTTTGACAATAACGTGTTAATATCTTTATCAAGTAAAATTATATGAAAATATAAACGTACCTCCTGGCAGACTTTATAGAAACTGTGTTTGGCCAAACATATTTACTCAATGGCAATATGAATTAGGTAAATATTTTATTACTTTGTTACTTTCTTAGAGGTGAAGGAGCTTTCATATCTTTGCGGCTCCTTTCGATTAAGCTCTATACTTATTATATTGTGTTGAACTTGTAATGCTAAATTATTCGTGAATTCTTCGAATACAAAAGTAATTGTGTGTTAAGTTTTATGAATATCTCTCTAAAAGTATTTTCTCTTGGTAAACAATATTATCAGTAATGGCAGGCTAATTGCCCCATAACCCTCTCAAATATGATAGGAGGCGTGTGCATAACAGAGGGAACGAATATAGGCCGTAAATTCACTTTTTTAGCGTACTTCAAAAAAGGAAGAGATTCTTAACGTGGTAGAGCCATGCTGCAGCTATATTGTGGTTGCAGCACGAATGGGTCGGCTCGACCGGGGTAGGACCACGCTCTCACAGAATACCAGCGTAAAATAGCAGCTTAATGCTGCTGTGTTTCGTATGGTGACTGTAGAGAACTGGAGATCCTTTTTACTTGAAACGAGGCATTTCATCTCAGTCCTCAGGGCTGGCAACGCATCTGCATTTTGATTCTTAATTAAAGATAAATGTAGATGTCCATGGGCCACAGCATCATTGAGGTACTATATACGACAGTACAATTTAGTACAATGCCAAGCATCCGCACTTACCATTAGGTGGACTGTATGCTCTTTGTCACTCTCATTCTATAAATAAGAAACTCCATTCAACTGCTTTTGACATTATGTACTCGTATGTTACGTGAAAAATTATAAACCGATTCATATGATTTTTATATTCAGATTTAATAAACCTTAAGAGTAGTTCTATTTAAATTTAAAGAAATAATTCCCCCCCAAACCTTAACTGTGTAAAAAAATAAATTAAATTTTTAATCTTCTTTAGACGACAATAAAGTCCTTACCTTAAACATTGCGATTATAATACCGCTTAATCCAAGGTCAACTAAGAAAGATTAAAAAATAATGACGATGATAAAATAAAGCACCGACTTTAGAAACTATTAAAATAAGTGGGAATGATTTAATTATTTCCTATTCCTCGAAGTCAGTTTTAATTTTTACCGAAAGTTTAACGGTTACGGGTTTTAATGCCATGTCAGATTTTTTAATGAATATCTATTGGTGGTGGATATCGTTTTAGATCCAAGGTTTTGGTAATTACAAACCCAGAAAGCCTATATAATAATCATCATTATTACAGCCCTTCAAAAGCGCACTGTGAACTATAGGCCTCTTCTAAGATATGTCACATAAGCCGGTCCTGAGTTGCCTACATCCAGCGACTTCCTCTACGTGTTTTACCAAGTCCTCACTTTTCTTTTTTCTTTTGTAATTATAGGGGGGGGGGAGATTCATTCCGCTTACTGGTATAAGGCTGACACTCGAGAAAATTTCTTTAACATACGACTGCTTTGAATAATTTATGAAAATTATATGAAATAATATAAAAATAATATAGAAGCTCGCTTCAGCGAGCTATGGAGAGGATTATTTTCGGATTTTTTATGGGAATGCTTAATTAAACACTCATTACTGGCAACACATTCTATTTAAACACTTGTTTTAAGAATTTGAGAAATTTGACAAATAATATAAAAACGACGAAACAGACGGTAAAAAAACTACTTGATTTTTACTAGTTATTGTTAGTAACAAAATTTAAATAAATAATATATCAAAACGCAAAATGTAGAATTGATTTTAGTGCCATCTATCGTGAAAAATCAAAACTATGAAACAACAAACTGCTACGTTGAGAAAAATAATATGTTGTTCTTCTTGAAGCGTTATAGAGGTTACACGTTAACTTTATAGATGACGCTTTAAATAAAATATAGTCATTAGTAAAACGTTTAACTTTTTATTGTGTATAATTTTTTGATCATTACATTATCTAGATATGAATATATTGAAACATATTGTTAATCCGTAGAATTATTTCTTGTGCTTTGCATGAACAATGAAGAAGAAAAAACATCAGTCATCATTTTATTCAAATTATATTTATGGTAATTACTTTTTAATTCAATTAGAACAAGCGAAACAAACATTTGGAAAAGGTATTTTCTCTGTTAGTGCTAAAAGAATGGGTTGGATTGCCCCGCGGCACCATGTTGTAGCACCATCCCAGTTGTTGGATGGCACGTACTGTAAACATAAAACATTTATTTCTGATATCGCCCTCTAACTTGTCCTTTCAGGTAACAATCATATTGCTTTGAGAATGTAGTAAAGATATTTTTAGGAAAGAGTTTCATTTTTTTTTAAATACAAGTGAGGTGATCGAAATGGTAGATGGTAAGGATGAAATGTTAGGTGATAAGAATTCACAATATATTATGTTGACTAGTGCCGAAAAATAAGCTTAGAATCTGGACTCGATAAGCGACATTGTGGTTCAAGTTTTTATTAAACTTTATATTTACACTGTGAAAAGTCTGGAAAAAATTCGGAGTGAAACCCATTGTGGCAAAAGGCCAGAAGAATGTCTGACGGGCAAACAAGTATATTTATTAATTTCTAGCTGTACCGTGACTTCGTTTAAAAAAAGTAAAGTTACAGCCTATATACGTCCCACTCCTGGGCACAGGGCTCCCCTCATTTCTGAGAGGGTTTTAGGACAAGGAAGTGTCCGCCGCGCAGCCCCAATGCGTGTTGGCGAACTTCACATGTCTTCGAGATATTATTTTTTTCTTATTCCTCAGACATGCAGGTTTCCTCACGATGTTTTCCTGCCTTTCCACTGAGCACGTGGTAAATCAGCATTTAAAATTGCAATTAACAATTTCACCGGTGCCGGCGGGGATCGAACCCGGGCTACTCGCGTTATGTTATATTTACAGCGAGCGTTAACCATCTGAGCTACCACGGCTCTGACCATGGAGGTTAGAGAACAGGAGAACGATCGTTACGTGCTAGAGCATAGCCCGCCTGTCCCTGAAAATTTGTAGAATTTATAGCCGCGCTGCGTATTTTTTTATTTTTGATAAAAAGAAACATTAAAAAATGGTGGAATATTATAAATAAAATAATAATAATAAAAATAAATCAATAACAGAATAACACAACAAATCCAAACAAAATATCTGGACCTGGCTCACGAGGTGACCGACATGTGGGGTGGTCTGCCGGCCGAAATTATTCCTGTAGTCGTCTCTGCGAATGAGCTAATCTCAGTCAGCCTCTCGGGTCATCTGAGGCGACTGGGACTCCGTGACGGACCGCTCCGGCCTCAAATGCAGAAGGCAGTGGTCCTCGATACCGCCCGCATCGTCCGCCGGTTTCTTTCCCTTTCCTCCTAACCCTCGGCCGTTTGGTCCCCCCTGCCGAGGGCTTCCATATAGTTGGATCTTATTTGTTTATGTATTTTTGTTATTATTTTATTTTCTTGATATATATGTATATTTATCTTTTCATTTTAATTTATAATTATATATTTATAGAATCCAACCAGATGAGAAAACTATATAGATACCCCACATATAAATAATTTATATTTGTAATAATTTATTATATTTATAATAATTAAAATTATAAAAAAAACATTATTAAGACAACTTAGCGATCGCAGCACCGCACTTATTTTGTCCATATTTCTAAGACACTATTTTCTTCAGCCATCGTTCTCCTGTTCTCTAACCTTCATGGCTCTGACTTCGACTGACTTCGTTTGCATGGAATTTATTACGGTTGGATTTCATGGAGTTTAATTCTTTTGCGCGGAACCCTAATATTTTTTCTAAAATACAAGTAGCCTAAGTTACTCCTTACAACATCAGCTATTTACCAGTGAAAGTCCCGTCAAAATTCCTCCAGCCGTTTTGAACGTGTGGCGTTTTGGTGATTAGCCGAAAGAAACAGACAGACGGACGCACAGACAGAAAAATATATATATTTTTTAAAGTACTGTATGTAATATAAATCTGTAATAAACAGACTCTTCATTTTATTTATTTGTAATGATTAATTTAATACTAATGTCAGGCTTTATTTTTTATATACAGAATAAAGGTGACAAGCGAGCATACAGTCCACCTGATGGTAAGTGGATGCTGTGGCCCATAGACATCTACAGCTACTCTCGATGAATAATAAAAAATGCTGATGCGTTGTCACGCATATATTCAGGGCTGAGGTGGAATGCCTCGTTTCTAGTAAAAAGTCTCCAGTTTACTAGGCCTCTCTTGCCTCATAGGGTGGATTTGCAATGGTTGCCATGTATGGCAGGGTTGGCAAACGCAGTTATTTATCGTGTTTTGTCGATGTTATGATTTGTGTGTTCATCTTTCGCCTCTTACGACACCTCTTATGGGTTAGTGGATTATCTTATGGGTTAGTGGATTATCTTATGGGTTAGTGGATTATCTTATGGGTTAGTGGATTATCTTATGGGTTAGTGGATATTCTTAACCGCCATTACACGGTAATAATAATAATTTTAATTAAAAGATACTCACTCGTCTTGAAAGCACTTCAGTGACGTGATTCGCGGGCATGTATATCATTCTGACTCCGGTGCCTGTTCTCATATTCGTTACTTGAGCAACCACATTGTACTCGTTTAGACTAAAATTTTTTCTAATCTGCAAAAAATTACAACTAATCAAGTCTCGTTTTATTTTTTAAGATCATTGAAACTGGTTTCAGTTCCCTGGCGTAGTTGCTTAGCAATGAATTGCAGTGATATAGCCCGCTGGGTAGAATCCCACACGGAACAAGTATTTGTGTGGCCTATAAATAACTGTTTCTGGTCTGCTTATTTTATCCATATATAAAGCCCCCACAATACGGAAGAAAATCATCTTTTTCATTAAAAATATTTAAAAATGTTTTTAATGAAAAAGATGACAAAAGGAAAAGAAGGTAGAGTTCGTCGCTTTATCCTAGTGTGTTTTAGGCTGTGATTCTGACTTAAGCTAACTCTCTCACATGAGCGTATTATTGAACATCGTGTTCAACAATACGTTTTAGAGCAGCATGGTGGCTTCTTTTCTGCTCCAAACCTCTTTAAAAATGAGAGGAAGCATTCTCCCAGCATATAGGTTTATAATATTTTACATTACCCTGTAGCTCTTTCAATCAATGGAGACCATCATTACTTTGCAAGCGTTTTTTTTGCTGGATCTTTCGACACAAATTTATCTATATAAAACTCAAAAAATGTTTCTACCTTTTACGAGATTTTTTTTGTATGTGTTTGAATCGGTATCTAGGAAGTTTATATTCACATTTGGACTCACCAGTTGACGAGATCCAGAAATCACCTGTGTGAAGCCTAGGATCGCCAGTACTCGTATAAAGCAGATGCGAGGAGGCAGATTCATTGTTTATTTAACACTTAAAAGTTTAGAAAATCCTTTTAAGAAGTACTTTTAAGAATTTGAAACGGAAAATATATTCCGTTAAAAAGAGAATAAAAATTGAACATGTATATGCTTTTAGCATAGAAAATGTTCTATACAAAAACCATACCTACCGTACACGTGATCGTAATTTCGGAGTGCGTGTAAGTTCCTGTGTAATACTGAACAGGTTGACCATCCAATTGGACTATGACGTCCAAACCGACCTTCACGTTTAAAAGTTTAAGGTCACCCCATACTAAGCCAGTCCACTCTGTGGTATTACTGGTTGTTACAGTCGTTTGAACTCCTTTCCTGATATTCAACAGCTCCATTTCCTCAATGGACACGACGAATCCATTTGTGTAGTTGACTCTACCGGCTACATGCCAGTTATACATGTGCTCGCTGGGAAGCATTAAATACATATTAATATTTAAAAAAAACACGAGTGCAAGTCATACGAGGTAGAAACCTTCAGAAAACTATCTTATATACATATATCACCGCCTGCAACTTTACAAGGCGCAGGTTCGGCCGCACATGGAATAATTCCATCCATTTGATCGCATCCAGCGCAGAGCTGTTCGAATCGTCGGCGACCGAGCTCTTTCCGATCTGCTTGACACACTAGCACTGCGAAGAGATGTTGCATCTCTTTGCGTATTTTATCGCATCTACCACGGAGAGTGCTCTGATGAATTGTTCTGACTAATTCCAGTCGCACAATTTCGTCAAAAACTCGCGATACCATTCATACCATATGGATGACTGGCGGTCCACCACCATACGATTTAATAGAAGTTTTCTTCCACGCACAACTTCCTTGTGGAATTGACTACCACCAAAGATTTTTTCGGACCGATACGACCTAGGGACCTTCAAGAAAAGAGCCTACTCCTTTTGAAAAGGCCGGCAACGCATAAGCAATTCCCCTGGTGTTGCAGTTCATGGACGGCGGTAATCAATGGTGAGCCGTATGCTCGTTTTCCCCCTCTCCTATAAAAAAGTAGTATAATTGTGGGATTTATTAATTAAAATATTGTTACCAGTTTAAAAATTATACTATTCATTCGTTTATATTGTAGATAATAGGAAATACTGTATACTGTATTCCATCTCATTCTCTTGTCGCTTTTAAGTTTCATCGAGTTTCAAATCACAACGATTCTAAATTCAATTCAATAAATGAAAAAAATAGCTTATCTCGTGCTGATTTTTTTAATACAAGCTGCATTGGCAGATACACAGAAATCCTAATAATAAGACATTAGAAGTGGCATCTATAGACGTGTGACCTTGTCTCCGCTATGATGTGTTGACGAACATTATTCACCATTTTGTGATTTAAGTGCGCGGGGAACGTCGTACGTGAATTTATGTAATTATAGTGGTGAACTGCAGCATAATCAATGGCAAAAAGTCATCAAGGAAGTGTAATTTAACTGCAACTAATTAAGTCATAAAATTTAACCGGTAAGATGATTATTTACTAATTATCATTGTTTTAACAAATTTACATCAAGATTAATACTTTATTATGATATTTACCTTGGTAAACTTTCATTTATTACGTTTTGTACTGTGCATTTACCATTGCTGCTTTTGTTCTACCTTAATACGCAACGCACGCGACGTTGATAAACCCGCAAAGCAATGTAATGTGAAACATAAGATATCATTTTGAATTGCGTAATGCAGGCTGCAGGCATCGGTCGCTTAATGCCTATGTGTTAAAATGTGGCAAGTGGCAACATCGGTTTTGGAAGCAATCGAGTGCTAATTCATTTCTATTGTCTTATTATTACTATTTCTGTGAACAGATAGTGTTTTGCTTTTTTCATTAGGTGGCGCGATGATTTAGACATAAATATATAATTATTACTAACACTATCATTATACATTGTAATTTTTAGATTTTTTCTGTTCTATATGAAATATCTAGAATCTAGATTCAAGAATTATACCACATTATAATTTAAATATCAGTAATTTTGATTCTTAAATATGGAATTTGTTATCAATTTTATTACAGTGCTTGCTGTCGAATCCTAACGTAAGTACGAACATTGTTGATATTCCTAGCATTAGAATCAAACGGTTCGCTTCAACTTAATTTGCCGGCTTCTGTCATTCCGTACGAATACAATCTGGGCGTCTTCAAGGCAAGAACGAAAAGGTTTTTTTGCGCTAAAGTCATCCCCATAGATTGTCTCATTAGGGGGGATGTTTGTCATTATTTCCAAGCTTAGTAAGCGGATTGGCAACTTTAGCTATATTACTATGTCGTGGAACCATTTTGCAGCTATATTATCGTTCTAGCACAATTGGTTCGGCTTAAACGGGGAAGGACCTCGCTCTCACAGAATAGTGAAATAGCAGCTTAATGCTGCTGTGTTTTGTATTTGGTTCAGAACCGGAAACCATTTTACTGGAAACAAGGTATTCCATCTTAGTCTTCAGGGGTGACTACGCATCTCCATTTTGTTTCTTAATAAATTATAGTTGTATGTGGACTACAGCACACACTTACCATCAGTTGGATTGTCTGTTCGTTTATCACTCTTATTTTATAAAGACGCAGTTTCTATTGTTATTAGGAAGATGCTGCTGTTGATTTTCTGATTCAGTATTCCTCTGTCACCTCTTACGACACCCACGGGATGACTTGCGTTAGTGAACGTTCTACGCTCTTGTTGATAGCTCTTGACAATATTAGGTAATTACCACAGTCATCCAAATCGTTTGAGAGATTCTCAATTTCATCATTATCATCATCAGTGCCAGTGTCATCATCACTATATACTGCCAGTATAATATCAATTTAAAGTGTAGACATCTATTTAAAATTATATTTAATTCAAATTAAACACAGGATTGGGTACGATACAGGTTAAAATTTGATTTTTTTATCTTTCTTTAAAAAAATTTAATTAGTCTAAATTTTGCTCGAATTTTCTCAGCGTGTTAGACTTCTTAATGAGGATATCCGCAGTAGAAACAGAGTAACTGACATAGCCCAAAGGTAAGCTGAAGTGGCATTGGGCTAGCCATATAGCTAGAAGAATCGACAACGATGTGGAAAGTAGGTTCTTGAGCGGTAGCTTCGTACCAGGATGCGAAGCGTAGGCAGGGTCCACAATAGATGGAGTGACCAACTAGTAAAACACGCAGAAAGTCACGATGAATGCAAGTGGCTCAGTATGGTGCAGTGTGGAATTCCTTGGGGAAGGCCTATGTTCAACAGAGGACTTGTAATGGACTCTAATGACGATGATGATAATGATGATGATGATGATACTTACTTAAGCGTCTGACTAACGTCTAGTAACTTCAAATTCCACCATCCATAATTTTCTTCTAACTCTGTAACCATTGCGTTCATAATTTTAATAAAATAATCCTCTGCATCCTCCAGATCTGCATTACTGGCTGCAACAAAATGTAATTTTAGCCGACTAAAATCAAGAGGAGGTTCTCACTAAGAATGTATTTTTATGTGAATCCAACGCGATATCTTCGCCAATTGTGTATTGATTCGAACTATTATTTTACAGTACCCGGTTGACCGAACTTTGCTCGGTATTTTTCGCTCGGTTTTTTTTTTAATTCGTGTGTTTTGGAAATTATATTTAGATACAAATTACATACTGATGAAATACGAATAATATTTTTTGATCTTAGCGACATAATAGAAAAAACTGAACTGGTTATTTGAATAAAAAATCATGAGTGCAATTAGTTTAATTTAAATTTTCGTGTTTTTAAAAATACTAAAAAAAGGGCTCGAAAAAATAGATTTTCTCAAAAAAGAAAGGAACTTGAAAAAAAAATTAAAAAAGTCGGTCGGTCGGTCTGGGCTCGAACCATGGTATTACGATTTTGCGACCGCCCCATATACCAATTAAGCTATTTTTGTAATCATGAGTAAACTGTCAAAATTTATCCTCTTATTCTAACGATATTGTAGCAGTTTTTTATTGCCTAAAAACACGGACAAAAAGACATTTTCTAAAAATAAATCCTAGCTAGATCGATTTATTGCCCCCGAAACTCTGTGCACACAAAATTTTATAAAAATCGTTGGAGTCGTTTCCGAGATTCCGATTATATATTTACAAAAAAATTGCTCGTTTAAAGGTATAGGATTACATAGATTACACCTCAATCCTTTTACTAATGGGACCGCTTATTTCTATATATAAAAATAATTACTGTTGGTTAGTCTCACTTAAACTCGAGAACGACTCTACCGATTTTGGTGAGATTTTTTGTGTGTGTTTGAATGGGTCTCTTGATGGCTTATAATACAATTGGACCCGGGGGTGGCGCTGTTATAGAGATCTAGAAATCACTCGTGCGAAGCCGGGGTGGATTCCTAGTTAAGAATAAAAACGTTGAGTTTTTTTTTTTAAATTTTAGAATGAGATGCGGTCTATGTTACTTATTGAAAGTATTTTGGTTGCTGCCTTGAGTTTAGTTGACAACTTTAAAAAAAATCTACTTAATAGAATAGCTCCCAAAGTCGGCATTAAGACTGTATAAACATACGTTGCGGGAAATCTTCGCTAATGGTGAACCGTGTTAAAACATAGTATATCGATGAACTAAAACCGAGGTTTTTAAGTATTTCAAACTTTTCACTTTTTTAAAAGTTTATTATTTTAAGTTAGAAAGGGAAACATTGACACATCTGAAGTAGAACTAGAGCGATCGATAAACCCAAACAATCAACATACATCACACTCTGGACTCAGGACTCCTCTCACTTCTAATAAGATTTTAAGGTTAGGAAAAAATGCCAGTTTGCGGGAATTTTATTAGAATTTAAAAGTAATTTAACGTACAAATATTAAGCTAATGAAAACTTGGTCTTAAAGATTAAAGTGTCCATTCTAAATCAAGTGAACTCAGCATGCTTATAAAATAGTGAAAGCGTAAGGTTTAATTAAAAAATATTTTATTAAAACAGTATAATTTAAAAAATAGTATAAACTAACAACCTGCCCCAGCTTCTCCTGGATAGGATCTAATAATGTCAAGTTTTTCGAATAAAATATAGCCCAGTTCCATTTTGTTTTGTTTTCTCTCTATATGTTCGTAAAGTTTCATCGTAATCGTTTAAGCCATTTTAAAGATTAGCCCAGACAGAGAGAGAGGCAGGCATTTCAATGTCTTATGAAGGAGCACCCACGACAAAGCCAAAGATTCGCTTGATATAAAAAATATAATTATGGTATTAGTGCGACTATGTTGTGGTGGACTAAAATAAGTATAAGTACTAATAAATAATACTTTAAAGTCTTTCTTCGACCTTAGACTTCTTTTTTATATTTATTTGGATTGCCAACATAAGAAGCAGCAGTTAATGATTGGTTTCATTACATCATTATAAATTTTACGTGATTAACTGCTTTTATAATTAAAGGCAATCACAGCATGCGTCGTGTTACAAATGAACCAATTTGAGGAAAATATGTTTTTAAATAAATAAAAAAGAAAAAGTAATAAAAGTTATTTGTGCAACTGGAGTTTAACGTACGGTTAAATTCCGGTTGCACAAAGAAGTCGGTTATATTATTAGTGATGGTAAAATTATACAAAATGTACATTTAACAATATATAATGTAAAAAATAATCATGTTTTTAATATATTACGATAACTTGTGCCTTTACAGTTTAAACATTTTCTTGATAAAGTTTGAACCTATGTTTTTTTCGTCAGCAATGTTAACACTTTTAAAATGTTGAGATACATTTTGCACAACACTTCTTAATAGCACAGCTTCTTGATGACTTTCCTTTAGCATATAATGCAACTGTCTCTTCACGGTTTTTGCATTTATCTTTTTCCTCTTCCGTCAGTACTTTCTTATAATTCTGCCAAATCTGCTTCTCATGCGGAACATCTCCCAAGCTGACACAAAATGTTTACATTTTTCAGACAATATCATAAATATTTTTGTAATGATCATTTTTTCCGAAATATTTTCTATAATATTTTTCATTTGCGTAAGAATAGTTTCTAGGGTGAAAAACAAGCTACTAACGGGCTCCTAAAATGGAAGATCGTATAATTTGCAGACTATCTCTGTCTGTCTATGTGTGTATAGTAAATTGTATTTTATGAGATGAATGCGAAAGCAAGAGCGATTGTATGTGTAATAATATATGAGTGTGTTGCACACGTAGTATTAATACACACTTTTCATCAGAAACATGTAGATATACCTATTTATATTTACACAAGAAAAAGTGAAAGAGAAACACTATACTAACATATCCACCTCGAACATTCGATACTTACTCACCTGCCCTTTGACCGGAAATACATATTACAGCAAAACTAGCTAATACCCACAAAGTCTTTAACATTTCGAAATTGAAATTTTTTTTTATAAAAAAAGGAAACCAAAATCAATCTAATCACATACACTGATATTATAAGCGGAGACTGAATTGTAAAATTATTTAATACGATAAAGAAAGTAATAAGAAAACTAAGCACCTGATAAGATTCACTTATTGATTGTTATAATCATTTATTATAATAATGAAAGTATTAAGAAAATTAAGCAGCTGATAAAATTTACCGATACATTGTTATAATCAGCGCTACGACGTAAGTGGCTTATTTGTGTCTTGTTCCTATCGTTGATTTTATTCATATGACGCAATTGTAGAAATTATCTAAAAAAAAAACCGCTAACGTAATACCGCTTAAAGTTGCTATATAAACTTTTTAAATATCTCAATGTTTGCCGATTTTTTGATAAATGTTTTGAAAACTAGTAGGTAGTGACTAATGAATTTATGAACAACAAACAAAAAGGAAAAGGGTCGCAGCAGGACTGTAAAAACTACCGTGGTATCAGCCTTCTTAGCATTGTGGGAAAACTGTATGCTAAGGTACTGATTGAAAGGGTCATGAAAGAAACTGATGGAAAAATTTGGGATGTGCAAGCGGGATTCAGAAAGGGAATGGGATGTTCAGATCAAGTATTTTCCATGCACATGATCGCGGAGAAGTTTTTGGCCAAAAACCAAAAGGTTTTTTGTGCGTTCATGGACTTGGAAAAGGCCTATGACAGAGTGGATAGGGATGTGCTATGGCAAGCACTGAACTCATTTGGGTTGAGCGCTGGCTTGATACAGGCATTGGAGTCTCTTTATAGGGACTCTAGTGCTTGTGTTAGGATCAACGGGGTCTACTCGGACTGGGTTGACATCCATAAAGGTGTCAGACAGGACTGTGTGGCTTCCCCGTGGCTGTTCAACCTATTTATGGACAGTTGTTTGTAAAATTTGAAAGTTGAAGAATGCGGATTAAGAATGGGTGAGTTAACCGTCAAATGCCTTTTGTACGCCGATGATCAAGTTATCCTTGCGTCGTCGGCGGCCGAGTTGCAAATGATGGTTACATTAATGAACAGATCATTAAAAGAAAGGGGTATGAAAG